CTCAACAGTTAATCGTTTCCCCAGTCATTTTGTTGCGATCTATCATTTTTTGGTCGATCTACAGCTTAATAGTGTGAATTAATAGTCTTGAAATCGGATCGGTAATTTATATCGAGCATTGCCGCGGACACCAACGTTTTTTGACTTTGTATAATTGAAACATTTATTCATTTATTGAAACAAATTTATACGGGAAAAAAAACATGATCAGCAAATATGTTTTCATCATGGTCCTGATTGAAGACATACATTAGTAAAACAATATATATATTTTTTAATAGAAAATACAATTACAGCAACTTGTAGGTTACAGTACGATAACAATTAGAATAGCACATTGAACTAAAATGGAAAACATATACACCAATAATCCGTAGACACAACAAGAATGCCCGAATATTCAATTGACTCGGAACAAACCGGAAGACGAAGTAGAAGAAGAAGAAGAAGAAGAAGAAGAAGAAGAAGAAGAAGAAGAAGAAGAAGAAGAAGAAGAAGAAGAAGAAGGAGGAGAAGAAGAAGAAGAAGAAAAATTCGAGAAGAAGAAGAAGACGAAGAAAAAGAAGGAGAAGAAGAAGAAGAAGAAGAAGAAGAGTAATTCGAGAAGAAGAAGAAGAAGAAGACGAAGAAGAAAAAAAATTCGAGAAGAAGAAGAAGAAGAAGAAGAAGAAGAAGAAGAAGAAGAAGAAAAATTCGAGAAGAAGAAGAAGACGAAGAAGAATAAGAATAAGAATAAGGAGAAGAAGAAGGAGAAGAAGAAGAAGAAGAAGAAGACGAAGAAGAAGAGGTTTTTTTCTAAACAAAAATTAGTTTTTCGTGTATTATTTACTTTGTGTACAGAAGAGAATATACAAACTAGAAGAAAGACGTGTTCCATTCATCATCATTGTAAAAGTAATTACTTGAAAAATATTATAAATATACCAAAGCCAGAAAAGATATCAAATGAAAAGGAATAGTAAAACCATCACTCATCAAAACCATAAGAAAAGGCCAAATGCAATTCGTTTGTCACATTTACTTGAGGATAATCTAATAAAAATAATATTGACAAAGAAAGGTTGCTGAAAGGAGGAGCAACGAGAGGAAACGCCTCACATGTTTGAAAAGCCTGAACAAATGGGCCTCAACAAATGAAATCAGCAATACCTGCTTTGTTAAGAATAGCAAATACTGGACAGCAATGGAGAGCCATGACCGCCAATGTCTGTTACAAGCCTGGAACATGTTAATGATGATGATGATGATGATAACATTACATGCAACATAGCTCTTAGTACATAGTAATTTTGTATAAACTGGAAACGAAAAAAAAACATACCAAAAAAAGAATCACCGAAACGGTCTGAGCTGAGACGAAATGAGAGACTATCTATTGAGACTTAAGCAGGGCAGATGGCATAAGAAGTAGGACAGGGGTTATGATATTAGTCTAAATGAATATATGACGAGGGAAACAACTTTTCTTAACTGTCTTAATCTTGCTTAATGGTTTGCCCACAAAGTGTCGGCCGTAAATGATAGTTTGAAGGAGCAATGCTGCAAAAAAATTGAAAGAAAACGGTTAACATGTTTTTGATTATGCCGATGTTTTATATTTTTAATTACATATTATATGATGGCGCAAAATATATATCTATATCTTGTTAGATAAGTACATTATCTTACTGTTTGTAGTGCCACGTTAATCTATAACGGTGTTAAATGGGTTGTCGTGAGTTGTCATAAATTGTCCACGTTATATAGATTCAAGAGAAAAATCTTTCAAGTATTAATCGAAAAAGTATTCATGAAAGTATATGTGTGGAATTCTTTTTGTATATATCTTGTTTGAGGCACATATCTTCTGTTTAATACCAACATTTATATGACTTACATTTTAATCTCAAAAGGGTGGGTGCTTTTTTCTTTAACTATAGGTCAGATTATTTACTTAAATCATACCGATTGTCTCGCATTGAATAAAAGATGTTACAGTAATCCGAAAGGCAAGATATTTTTCCCTGTCATTGAATTTGAATAAAACCGTATTTTCAATATATTTATATTATATACACATATACATGACGGAATATATTGAAACAGTTCATACGAAAGACCTGAACTTTTAATGATGTTTATTTCAGCTGTTTTGATAATCATTATTATTGAATACATTCACATATGTATATATATTATTTAAAGCTTATCTGCCATAGTTTACAGGAGGGATTAGAGCGCTCTGCAAGGTCACTGGACAGGTGGTTATCTCATCAACTCAGCTCTCAGTTAACATAAGAAAAAGAGGATCATGGGGGACCAATGGTCACCGATTAGGCATTGGTTGTTATATAGAGGGCGCAAGTAGCTACAAGTAGTGCAGTGGGCCTTTAAGATCTCATCTCTCAAACCGAAATGCTATCTCCTTTCCCCCAACAGTTTATATAATTATTTCTTGTGCGCCTGGTGCATTCAATTGTCAAACCTTATCAGATTTACGGATGCACCATTTTCGATTTGAACTCTGATTCATACTTTCATATATTTCTTTATATTTTAATGTTTTTGTTTCAATTCATATAGTTTTGATATTGTTTTCTGTCATGATATTCCATCTTTTATCTTTGTATATATTGTCATGATGACGGAAATAAATGTCAATTCAATTCATTTCAACTATATATTCACTTGAATTCAAGTGAGGCTTGGGGGTTGGTCATTGGTCAAATTTAAAAAAAAAAATTGCGTAATTATCAAGCGTTAGCTCTCTCTCTTTAAATTTATTTAACTCAATGAAATACATTTTGATATTTTGATTCATTTTGTACTGGCCATCCGTATTCCAGTCGGCCCGTGTCGTGTTGTGTGTGTTATAGGTAAGAGCCCTGCCCTCTCTCGTTGTCTCCCTTCTTTCCCTGTCCCTTTTACTCCTTCTATGTTATGTTTCATTGGTTTATGTATTTGTGCGTTCCTTTAGTATTGATATACTATTTTTGCAACTATAAGTTATAGGGGGCTGCAATCTACAAGCCCAGCTTTTCAGCAGTCCCCTCCATGACCAACCTGTTTTATATGCCTACTGTACACTGTGGACCAATTACAAATGTATTGTTAAGTTTCATTGTTTTACTATGTACAATGCAATCCCATGTACTTTATTTATTTTGTTGGAAATGGAAATAAACGAAATGAAATGAAATGAAATGAAATGAAATGAAATTGTTCCAAACCTCACCCACCCCAGGCCAAAGCTACTGGCTCATCTCCGTGGTATAGTGGTTAAAGGTAATACAAAGATTTGGTAAGGGGTCATGAAGTTCAAATGAACAAATTGGAAGCGTATGCGATCCTACAATATTCAGTGATCGGTATCGCGGTTGAAATCGAGTCTAAAGTCATGAAATTATGAATAATAAAGTCTTCATGTTGTTTAGCTCCCTCTCAAGGTCAAGGTATTTATTAAGCTATGAAACAATGTTTATTGACTAAAATCGACCGATTAACTATTACCGTTTGGAAATTATATATCAGAATAACATAGATTTTCATTGTCGTAGCTACCACTGTACGGCCGTAGACGCTATTTGAAATTCATCAAAATTTACCGGGAGCACCTGTAATTTTTATATTCAATTTTCTTCAAAAGCAGAAGTGTTTTAGGGGTTTAATTTTCTAGTGTTTATAATACATCCACAGGGGCATCCAAATATATCAAAATTGTAGAAATTCACTATCCACCCAATTTTCAAAGTTTCCCAAAACTTTGTATTACCCTTTAAAGCATTGGCGTCCTCAGCAAGTTACCTGGGTTCGATTCCCGGTAGACACTTTTAATTTTCAACGTTTTCCAAAAACAAAAATAAAAAAGTGAAGACGGAAGTGGGGAACCATTATTCCCTCATTATAGTTCGCATTGTAATTATATACATTATCTTCTGTATGTAATATGAACATATATATAAATGTTTATGTAAACATTTTTTTTTTTTTGGGGGGGGGGGGGGAGGGTTGGAGGGGATCCATTCAGCTCAAAGAACAAATGGGAATTTTCTGAAACATATCTAAATTATCTCATAATATGTCATTTCATTAAAAAAAAAAGACAGAAAAAGAAATATGTATCTGCTATTTGTCTTTTTACACACTTAATATCTCGTTCTATCTCTGTCTCTATTTATATATATATATATATCTCTCTCTCTCTCTATTCTGGTGTGTGTGTGTGTGTGTGTGTGTGTGCGAGTGCGTGTGTGTGTGTGTGTCTCGCTCTCTCTCTCTCTCTCTGTCTGTTTCTCTTGCCCTTTCCCTCTCTCTCTCTCTCTTTCTTTTTCCTCTCTCCGTTACCATCATTCTCTTATAAATTCATATGGTCTCATTTTGAATTGTTTTAAAACAAAACGGTACCTAGACGGCGTATGATTTAATAGTAAACCGATTTCTTTCCTGGTATTATTACCTCTAATTACAATTCCAACAAATATTTTTCTTCACATTATGTGTCTCTTCACCTCTTTTTCGTAATCGCCTCTCACTTCCGTTCTCTATATCTCCTTATCTCTCTCACTTACTCGATTTTCCTCTCAGTTGCTCATTTGAAGGATTAGCATTAACTTAATGAAATTGGGTTTCTTTGCAAGTGGACCGTTTAAGCTTTGAAAAAGAGATACATTAACCATATAAAGTGAAATAGGTTGATACCCAAAGATAATGGAAACTCGTTTAAATGCGATTGATTGATAGAGCACAATTAACAACTTGTATGACTAACGTACGTGCCACACCCCTTCATATAACGATAAAACGTGGGATACATCGAATAAATAGTGAGAAAAAAAGAGAGAAGAGAAGTGCATAGGCGAAAATAATAGGTTCTATTTCGCATTCTAAATTTGATTTGCTTGAAATTCGTATCTTGCACCTAGTAAGACCGCGGCACCCCTCCCTAACAATTCCAGTGCCCCCTCATGTTATTCACACAACAACACTGATAAGCAGAATAAATGAAATAGGCTGCACGAAAGTAAATGAAACCACAGGCGAGGTCAACCAAATTTATTACTTTTTCTTCTAAAACACATAAATTATGTGAGACAATGACGAACACTGGAATGCATGATAAATATGAGTAGGTACATTACTTGAGTGCACCGCCAACGTTTCCTAAAAGAAAATGATTTCCTCAGTTTCAGTATTGTGGCCATGTGATGGCTAAACAAACCAGAACTGGTTACGGAGTTAATCAAGTCTTTAAGGTATAAGAGAGAAGCTCACTTTCTCTAAACGAAAGAAAGATTCGCCACCTTACAAAAACTAGGGAGGTGAGACAGTCTCACATCCCTACAAAAACACTCAAGACACACACTCAACATATTCATGATATATACAAAGACAACTGTTAATAGACAGCATGATTTTTTCGTCAACATGAATTAACATTTAGCTTTTTAATGCAATTGATTTTCATAAATTATTTCATTTAATTTTAATTGCACCTATGAATATCAAATGGAATGTAACAATGTCTTTAGCGACATTACACCTTCTTTTTTTCTTTTTTCGAGTAACGCGTACTAGGCTGATCCTTTATTAACACGTGATTAAAAAGAAAGTTGAATTCTGAGAAAGGTGAGACAAAAAATGTGAGCTTTTTCATTCTGTTTATGTTAGTGTGGAAGAGCACCGTAGAAAAAACAGGGTCTCTGAAAAGGATGGTTCCTTGAATGCTCTCATATTCGAAATATATAATGAAATACCTGAAGTGTTGTAAGCCACAACACATTCTTTTTTTGAGTCCCATAAACATATTTCTGTGCACAGAGCTTGTGACTCTAAACAAGAATAGGACAATCGCTTCTAGGCAGTTCGTTTTGTAATGCAGTCGCTTGACCAGCGGTCAACTTTATCTTCCAAGTGTCAACAGTCAAAATGTAAAACTTATTGGGGAAAATTTCACCTTTTAAATATTGACTTCCATATGCAGTTCATTTCTTTTTTCAGAAACGACCTACTTTATAATAGCTGTGTTTTATTCTTTAAACAATATAGATTTTTAAGACCAAATTTTGATTTTCTTAAACAAAACTTATATATACTTTAAAAAATCAACATGAGTTCAATACTTAATCTAATACTGTATCATCAAAAGCCATTGCAAAAAGTCTTCCTATTCTGTTTTGTCTTTGAGTAAATGAAATAATATTAAATATTTCTTTCATATCGAAAGACCTTCCATTCACCTCTCTCATTTGACAAATCTTTACCCCATTGAATCTAACATAATTCCAATGATAATGTTCTTGGCGTTACAAGAAATGAAGTCATAATTGTAATTAAAGAGTACCTAGTTTTGTAATGAAAGATATATGGAGTTACGTCAATAATTTCACTACGCCTGATGTAGTTAAGCAATTTAGATTAATGAAATAAACATTTATCAACATTTTGCGACCCATATTCAGTTTATACCAAAGCACTTATAGATTGAATTAGCTGTCAACTCGTGCATCATCGAGTGATGGCATTATTAACATGTGGAAGTAATCGACGTGAAAATGGATTTCCCTGTTTATTATATATACGTTCATTCATTTATTGTTTAGCCTTTTGGAGTCCCTGTGTACTGGATCTCAATCAATTATCTTTGGGGATACAAATCTCGATATTCGAATTTAAAAAGTAGTCGTGTCTGAAACCGGTTATTGTTCATGTAACAAACTACATTCTGTAGTATTTTTCCCGAATATTCATCAGTGGAATTACATATTTTATTGCTAATAATCTGATCTGAGTTAACTTAAACAAACCATACTATATAACAAAAATAAACCTGACTATTCTGCTTAAACAGCATAACATAAGTAATAAGATATCACTGTGATACCATTCCATATAAATGCATTGTTCTTAAAAAAAAAAAATGTTTCTTGGCTTGTAAATATCGCATGGATAGTGAATTATTCTTTCAAAACATTACTATACTTTACTAATAACATCCAATTTGAATACATTCTGTTTCATTATAGAATTTCAAGTATTGTAAGTACACGTTTTGGCACTTTTGTTTGCGCCCTCTACAGGTAGTGCTTGGAAAATACCACAAAAAGCTACTTTAGGCTAAGGTGAAAACGCAATATTGTTCAAAACTTGGCAGTGAACTGTACACATTGATAACGTAGAATTTATGAATAACTTGAAAATCATATTGCATTCTGACGATATATTTCGGGCAACTACGAATACCCACCCCTCCCCTTCCGAAAACAAGTTTATGACATAATCCAAGGATTTCAAATTCTTTAATGTGACCTTCCGACAAAAAACAAAAATATTCTCACGGAATATCTCAATCAAGGATGTAAAAAGCTGCGAAACAATGTGTTGATCAAAAATCAAAAATCTAAAGATGAGGAACTCAGGACCAATTCTCAGACTGGGCGAAGCTGGCGACGGGCACCTATTAAACAGAAGGATAAAAGGGAAATATGATTTACGTGAAATGGTAATAGGCACGTTAACATAAAATAAATGATATATTGTAATAATGAAGTCATAGTCTATTCAGAGCAATCTAAATTTGAGATCAAATCGATCCCATAACACTAATAATAACAACAATAATATTTGTTTATAATTTTCATTAAAAGTAATACTGATAATTATCAAAGCAATAACAAAAATAATAATAGCGGTAATAATAATGATAATACTAGTAACATCAATAATAATACAATTATATTTATAATAATAATAACAGTAACTAAAACTAGCACATAGAACGTTCTACTTAGTAAAAATATATCAAAGCGTTTACAAAATATAAAATACATGATATTGAATTGAAGTTAAATCCTTCAGACTTTTAACACCACAATTAAATTCATCGAAAAAATATTAGATTACTTAGAAATGTGTATCCTAAATTATCATTAAATCGTGTTTGAGATTTCCCCTCCATGAGGAATAAAGAAACTAAAAATGGACGATTTTTTTTCGTTCATAAGTCTAGAGCATAAACCTAGAATCACTCAACAACAGCTTGAAGAGTAAAAGTTAGGAATGGAAATGATAAGGATGGAAAATTGAAGTTCTTTAAGAATAAAGAAAGCGTCACTTTTGACTATAATGAGTTTAGGTTATTGAATCTACAGTAGACAACAGAGACACTGTTTGAAGCTATGGTAATTTTTCATTGTGACGATGTTTTAAGAACAAACTTGGTAAATTTCCATTAAATCCCTAAATAATAATGATTAAGAAGACAAAATGGAAACAAAATGGATTGACAGATGAGTTGCATGCTTTCCAAAGGCTTATTCATGCACATGCACTCTGGTCAGCTTAGGTTAAGAAAAAAGTTCACGGTCATGACATTGACACCAAATCTAAAGCAAAATCAAACAAATGTTAGATGACAATTAAATCTTCTTTTTCGACTTCCTCGAAACTCCAGCTGCATTAGAAAAAACGCGATGTAGCTTCGAGTTCTCTACAGTTTTTAAATATTGAACACAAACAAACATTCAAAGCGTGTAGAGGATTATAAATTGTAGCATTATAAGGCTACAGGAATTACCATTTTATAAAGGGGTTTTAAACAAAACTGAAAAACTACAAAATAATATGTGACTAAGGGTAAATAATACTAAATAATATACATTTCACTCTAAATACCATACCAAAATTATAAATTGATTAAAAAAATAATTGTTTAAAAAAAACCAAAAAACAACCAACATATACCGACAGATATATTTGGCTTGTGTGTGCCACAAAACTTCTAGATAATCTTGCCTTAGGTATATAGTTATTATATTCTTTCATCAACGTTTTCGCCTGTAGTAAGTCCATCGTAATAAGTAATGATCTGTTATCGGTTCATCAACTTCTCATGCCAAAAAAAAGGAATATGGCATGCGAATGAAAAGACAGAAAAGAAGAAAAGAGAAAAGTTATAAGTTAATCATTTTATAGGAAAACGGGTGTCGTATAAGGGTATATTAATAATACACCCACTGCCGAATGACATGGCTACATGTGCATTTTCTAAGCGAATAAAATTTGAGTCTTACATAATATAATATTTGGTATACTTAAATGTTACAGTCAGCCTCTAATAATACATAATGTAGATCCATTAAGAAAAAGAGCTTTAAATACATAGATATTTTATATTTAAAAGGTAAGAATATGCATTCAAATTAAGCGATTTCACAAATTGCATTTCATCTCCGAATATTTGCTTTTCTCGGAAATTATATCAAATGCATAATCAATACTACACCGGTACAATTGACAAAAAGAGCATCCACCCCTTCCCAAATAAAAGACAACTTTCCGAGAATGAACATGATATAAATAATAACAGGTTCTTGTTAACGCTGGAAAATAAATCAACATAATCTTTTCTACTCTAAAGCTTAATTATAAGCATATTAAAAACATTTTGTCTGGGTTTTACTGCAGTGTACTTTTATCACTACTATCAAAAATGTCTCTTGTTTATTTATATATTTGTCTGTTTTGTTTTTCTTCTCTTCAACATCATACAAGCCATAATAAATCACTGTCATATCATTTGTAACTTTAGATCACATTTCTTTCATGGCTTTCGCAAATTTAATTGCAACGACATTTACTTTCCCCCGCCGTTAAATCCACATTTATTGAAACGGGCGAAAGGGAAGTGATTGATGCTCTTCTTTTCCATTCATATGGGGACAGAAGTAGCCTGTATAGCTTAATTCCAAAAGGGGCTAAATCCACTTTTGAGCGAAATTCTTACTTTTTTAAGAGGAATATGTGACACATGAGAATCATATCTATATAACACATTTTAAACATGAGACAATGTCTGTTGAAAAGTTTGGTTACATTCCAAAAAGAGCTAAATCCAAACTCGTTTCATGCCAAAAGAAAGTGTATCCCATATATCTGAAACGATTACGAATTTTGTTCTTTTGTATGCAATAATTTATTTAAACTAATAACATTATTCATGATTGCGTTTGCAAGCTTTGTTTAAAGAGATGAATAGTATGTAACGCAATATTCCTACCACAATTTACCAATACAACTGAAGTGATAACTGATAAGGAAAAGTGGTAAAATATAAGATTCTAGATTTACTAAAGAAACGCTATACAGTGGATTAACCCTAATAAGGCCGGGGGGGCCATAATGACCCCCCCCCCCCCCCCTCCACGATTTTTCCCAATTGCTCGGGAATGCATATGGATGGCGCCCCGCCGCTGGCTGACTTTTTTCTTTCGAGTCTTGCGCAACTTTTAAAAGAATTTTTTTGAAATTCGGACCTACGGTTACAAAGTCACGTGACCTTTTGTCTTTGCATGTCAGCCCGAAAATCGCTCTTTTTCGTGATTTGTGTACAAAACATATGGAAAAGTCATTTTTCCTAAAAACAGACCAAACATGGGTTATTGGGTCTTGTTTAAAGTTTGGGTGGTTGTTTTGGGAGTCAAAATAGTTGAATTGTAGTAAGAAATGAAATAAAACAACAAAAACAATGAAATACATAAGTTTAAAAAACAATGAAATACATAAGAAATTATCAAAACAAGGGATAAAATAAGGAATAAGCTGGCTCTTCCAAACATTTTTGTCGTATTATTATTCAGAATGGTCTAATGAATATATGTAGTGAAAAAGAATGCTTAATTTATGAATAATATATGATTTATGGGTAAAAATGTGATTTTTATGACTTTATTTGCATAAATTACCATAAATATGCAAATGAGTGAATTTTTCAAAAAATTGAAATTATCATATTATTCTATACACTTCACTTGGCATGCGTGCAAATTTTCGCGGCGATCCTTCGCGGCCGAGATCTTAAGGGGGCGGGGCATAATGCCCCCACGGCCATACTAAGACCTCAAATAGCCCGGCCTTATTAGGGTTAAGCCCCTTTTGGAATGAAACAATCTATATATTGGGACTTGTTCAAGAGGTATTCGATGATAATGTTGACACCATCATTTTGTGGTAAAAGAAAGTTGTGGTACTTCTGTTCTTGGTAATGTATGCGACAGGATGAAATAAATTTATGTTGTGAATTACATTTATCATATTGTCAAAAATGATTTATATTGACATCCTTCTGCCACGGCTACGGCGCTAAAAAGCTTTCGAAGAAAGTGAGGGAAAATGAAGAAAAAAAAAACTTTGATTCCTTCTCAGACTTAGATCTTGTTACTTCTTTAAGATTGCATTAAAAGATGCAACATAAACAACCACAGAGCCGATAGTACGTCACTTTTTTTTATATTTTTTTTAATACCAGCTAGAGCCTAAAGCCCACCGCACACTACATGATCATGCTGCTATCCGTTTTTCGTTGTAAGGGCGGTTATATTTCATATGGAAATCTAAACCGTCACTTTCTTCCTGATTTAGATTCTAAATAATGATACGAATACGGAACTTTATGCTAGGAGTCCACTGGGCCGGCGCCAGTTGGTGCCAGTTCGCGCCAAAGATTATGTGATTGGCGCGTAGTGGCTCGCTGTGGCGCCGAATTAATGTCCGCTCGGCATGTGTCGCCAAGTGGAATAAACTGGGTGCCATATGGCGTGCGCCAAATGCCACCCGGCTTGCTCCAAAATGTTGCGCCAGTTCGCGCCAGTTTGCGCCATTACACGGCCATTTGATTCCAAAATTCACCCTGTTGGCGCCATTCGCGCCAATAGACGGCTACTTTGCGCCACTTGGTGATTAGTTTGTGCCAAAGGTCGCCAAATTGGTTTGAACTTGCCGCCGCTTGGCGCTACTTGCCGACTAAATAAATACCGGCCATTGGCTACCTGGTTCAGACCCTCCTCAGCTGCTGTATGAACAACATCTCTACTAAATATTTACAATTTTGATATGTCTGAGGCTTTTGATAATGTTTGAGTGATGATGCTGCTCCATCAGAAGATGATGAGAGATGCTGAGGTGGCCACTGCCTATCAACTTATGCTGGCCAATCCTGAAGAAGAAGAGCCTCCTAAGAAGAAAAGGAAGCACAACTGGTGGTTTAGACCCATGCTCCACCCACAGTTGAGGGCCGAACGTGGACAGTACCACACTTTGATGGAAGAGCTGAGTGAGAATGACAGGAGGAAGTTCAAGAACTACACCAGGGTGTGCCCAGAGATGTTTGATGACCTGTTGGTCAGGCTTACACCCCACTTGCAGAAAAAGGACACCCACATCAGGAAGGCCATTCCCCTGGTCTCAAGTTGTCCGTCTTCCTGCGCCATCTCGCCAATGGGGCCACCTATGCCGAGCTGTCTTTCAACTTCCGAATGGGCAAGGAAACCATCCAGAAGTTTGTCCCTGATGTAGCCAGAGCGGTAGTGGATGAGTATGCTGCAGAAGTCATCTCCCTCCCCACAACCAATGAAGGCTGGCTTGAGGTTGCAGGTGATTTTGAAGCCAGATGGAATCTTCCTCACTGTCTGGGAGGCTATGATGGAAAGCACATCCGTCTCCAGAAGCCCAACAAATCAGGCAGCCTTTACTTCAACTACAAGCAGTTCTTCTCGGTTGTCCTGATGGCTCTGGTAGATTCAAAGTACCAGTTCCTGTGGATCGATGTGGGTGGGGTTGGCCATCAGTCTGATGCCCAGATCTACAACAACAGTGAACTGAAGGAGTGCATTGAAGCTGGCACTTTAGGCATCCCAGATCCAGCTCCTCTTCCCCATGATGATGAAGAGCACCCTATGCCGTACTTCTTCGTGGGAGACTATGCCTTCGCCATGAGGACGTACATGATGAAGCCTTATGGCCGTCGTAACATGGACCAACAGCAGAAGATCTTCAACTACAGGCTGTCCAGGGCAAGGCGTGTGGTTGAAAATGCCTTTAGTATTCTGGCTCTGCGGTTCCAGTGCTTCCTTGGCCAGATGAGACAGGAACCAGACACAGTCCGCCTGCTCATTGAAGCTGCCGTCATGCTGCACAACCTCATCAGGAAGCACTATCAGACATGGGACGTCCGCATGTTGGACCAGGAGGATGCCCAGCACAACCTCATCCCTAGAGCTTGGAGAACTGCCGCCATCAATGTGAGAAAGTCCTGCGATGCCGCCCTGCTGTTATAGGCGGCAAGTGGCGCCGAATGGCGGGCAACAGGTGGCATTTGGCGCGAAGTATTCAACAATCGGGTGCCGTTTGGCTCGCGTAGTGGCGCAAACAAGGTGCCCCCTGGCGCCAAGTGGCGCCATGTGGCGCGAAATCTCATTGGCGCAACTTGGCGCGCGCCATTACAGTCCAGTGGATTCCAATAGGCGGATTGTTTGCGCCAAAGGGCGATATGTTCGCGCCATTTGGTGCCACTTGGCGGACACTTGGCGCTGATTGCTCGATGCAAGTGGCGCGACGAAAATTTCAAACATTTTGAAATTTTCTTGCCGCCACATTCAAATTTGGTGCCGTTACGGGCCACCACGAGCCAGTTGGGAGGCAGTTTGAGCCACTACACGCCACTAGGCACCTTATTGGCGACACTAGGCGCCACAGTAAATTGCATTGGCGCAAACTGGCGCCAACTGGCGCGGCCCAGTGGACTCCTAGCATGAGTGCATGGAACTCTTTAAGCCAGAATAAAAGCCTAATCAGCTTCAAATCGTTAAGAAACATACTGTTGATCTGACTGGTGAGCCGATTTAGCTTTTCCTTTACCAAGGAAGCATGACACCTCTAGAAAATTTTGATTTCTTTAATCACAAGATAGTTCGGGTCCTCGGTCATTAAGATCTACATGTTTGAATGTTCGTATCAAAAGCTATTGCCAATTCTTCCGAAATATGATCGTAGTCAGATCGTAGTCGGATCGTAGTTGAATCGTATAGCATGAGGTGGACTTTTACTAAATCCATGTTCGAATATATATTTTGTCTTCTATTAACACAATGCATGAAATATAAAGGTTGTAGTATTTAAAGTTAGTTAGGGGAGAATAGATTGGTGCAAAATGAAAAATGTAGAAATGACAATCGAAAGGATGAATCAGGTAATCGTGCTATGGATAAGATAGATCCAAAATTTCGCATATATAGATTTTGTCTGTTGAATGATTGTTTCATTTGCAGAAGGTTTGTGATATAACTGGTTTACTGATTCATTACCTCTACAGTAATAGAAATATTTCCTGCTGTACTTCGGTTTTGTTCTGTCACAAAAACATTTTGTCTGGAGACCCGGATGGAAACAAGCTGTTGAAGAAAATGTTGAAAAAAAGAGAAACAAAAATGTATATTATTAAGCAATCGTAGTGTACAGGATATTCTTAACTCAAACACTAATAATTTTGTTCGAATCATTTCTGAGATTGAACAAGGGAAACAGCTATTTAACTTTAGTCGGTTAGTATCCCCTCCCCCCCCCCCCCCCCCAAAAAAAGGTTTTGAATGTTTGACGTAATCTTAAGCGGCCTTTCAATAGCTATGAAATAAAGCTTTGAATCAATTAAATATTAATAAAAAATGATGTTTTTATAATAGTGTATCGAAATTGAATTGATCGGGTCAGGGCACTAATGCAACACTTGTCTGCTTTTAAAGGACATATATTGTCCTCTAAAATCGAACCTCGACTCGAATGTCTCCCTTTAAATACTTTGATTTAAAATTCAAAGGTTGTGGGTTCGATTCACGACACTTATTTTGGGAGCAAGGTATTAATATAGATTTACCACTCCATACCCATGAGAGACATGTCACACGGGGACCTTGTAAGATGACGAAGACATTTTTGCAATAATTTATTTATTATTGAACTTAATATTCAACTTACCAATGAACTTTTGTGTGCCGACTCCTCGTTTAAAAGGAAGATCCTCCCACTCGTCCTCCCAGTCTGGATCCAGGTCTGTGTCGCCTCGCTTGTAGTACTGGTCTTCATCCAGGTCTAGTAGCCTCTGGAGGTCATAGGTAGCTTCCGCCACCAGTGCTAAGGTCACGATCGCCAACGCGCAGAGCGAGATCCCGCTCTGTACTTTCATTGTGGGTAAGTCTTGTGTGATTTGATTCCGATATCTGGAAGACAAGAATTATAGGGTCATGGTAAAATGAATCTGATTTCAAAATTAATATAAAACAAAATTGGAAAATACAAGTAACCATCTTTTGTATCTTAAATTCGACGATACGGGTTTATGCATAAATTTCATTTATGTGACAGTTGAGATCATTTGTTTTCCACGATGTATCTTACTCGCCTTTCCTCTCTGCGTGTTCCCCCTCATTGGTACTTCTATATCCGATGTGCCACTGATATGATAGAAATTCTAGTTATATTGTATTGATTTTAATTTTTGGACCGACTTTCAGCTGCCCCCCCCCCCCTTCCCATATTTACCGCAATCACAATAAGGCGGCTAACGACAAAAATGTTGCCGGTGTCGTATATTTGTCTCCGTCTGTTATTATTGTTTCCCCACACGTCTGGTATGTTCATTACAATCTCTCTTCATTGTTTTTGTATTACATTTAAGTACGTTGCGCTTCATGAGCTGTTTGACGCGCGAACATGGACAATGACGCGTAAAGGAGGGAGGCAGGACTCCGTGAAATAAATCAATCTCCTTTTTTTTCTTCAACGGGTTGCATCTGACATAATTTGCTGACTTTTTTCCCGCCTTATATTTTTGTAATGGAAGTAAATCCGGAAGTGGACAATGCCGTCTAGAAATCAAATTTGTATACAAGAGCGACTGTTATTATAATAATGATAATAATCATGATGGTTAGGAGATGCGACAACAATACCAGAACACTTCTTTTCTGGGCGGATTGTTTTTGTATCTGTATTTGTGACCAGGCACAGTCCACGAAACCACCCCCCAAAACTCGCATAATATTATTTTCAGTTAAAGCCCAAGGTACAGGACTGGTGCATGTGGTCAGTTTGGTAAAATTTTACTTGTTAGTATTTCCTGAAAGAGTGTACTTTCCTCCATCTAATTTCAAATTTTGGATTTGATGGGATAGAAATACGTTTACGAACATTCACATTTACTGCACGTTCAGGTATAACGATGAACCTGCCACAATTGTAAACCGTAACCTACTGGAGGCTGAAATATTCATTTCCCAACCGTCACCTCATCAAAATAAAAAATAAAGCAAGAACAAATTAAAAATATTAACAAACAAACCACTGCTAAAATAGCATCGAAGACGGGCAGACAGAAAGATAGATAGATAGAGAGAGAGAGAGAGAGAGAGAATGAGAGAGAGAGAGAGAGAGAGAGAGAGAGAGAGAATGAGAAAGAGAAAAAGAGAGAGAGCTTTGGTTTTCTTTGTCAGATAGAAAACAATTGGGAATTAAGGAAAGGAGTGTGTATGAATGTGCGTGTGTGTGTCATAGTGTTGCAAAAGAACTGAAATAAAAAGGGGGCGGGAAAGACGATAAATATTATTGCCTTCATTATAATGAGAGATCACGATAATACTTTACTGAATAAGAGTATAAATGACATGAAAACTGTCAGAAAAATCTGAAGCGAATTTATAAAATGCAAGAAAGATCGAGAGCGTGATCATCTATGGCAGTTACGTCACAGCGAGTAGTTAGTGGCTGCGGCGAGATCACAACATATTTGTTCCATGACATGACACAAAACCAAAACAGGAAAATGGATCAAGAATCTTATTAACACGGTTACATCATAGCCTAACAAGCTTTAATGACGCAATAGATAACATCACAATAAAGAAAATGACCTCTTTTGTCAATCAACACTATGCTATCAATGGAACACAGATGTTTTGGTACTTGTTAATGTTTTCATATTTTCAGTTTGAACGTCACCAGAGCTGTTTTGTAACATGGCATGTAAGGACTATTTCCCGCCGAGACCGTTAGAGTAGGACACGCTCTTTTACCCTTAACATCAACTGGGTCCCCCAACCGTGTCGCGGGCTATTACTAGGAGAACAGGGGAGTTGGGTGATGCTATGGTCATAACAAGGGGGCGAGAGGCATTCGGAACCTGTGACAAAGGATTATCCTATTTCATGTTTTAGTAGTTTAAAAGCAGCTCTAAAATTCATTCGACAAAAACAATTTTGAGAAGAGACCAACGAAACTATGTCACAAGCTAATGTTTATCAAGGAAATAAAATCTACTTAAAGAAGTTCAACTACGAAGGCTTCGGACCAGTCATGACGAGAATATACTCTATCCTCGATTATAAACAAATATAAATGTCTGAGAGCTGAATGACGATCCTAAGAAGTGTCCAAATACTCTAGCGGCCCTCCCTATATAAAATAACAACAACATGAAGGTAAATCAACCTTTTCTGAGCACCACAGAGTATAGCTAAGTATAGTTAAATCTGTATAAATTTTGCATTTTAAATCTTAAAGAAAAGTTATTAAGAATTTACGCCAAGATCCCCAATGGAAACGGAGAGTGCAATATTAATGTAGTTTTGTATGTCAATGTTTTTAGTTTTCACCCGTTCGTAACATCATGCGTCATAATAAACCATAGCCACCGGCTCACTAAGGCGATCCTAGAATAATATATAAACAAGAAACAATAATCTCTCTCGCACACACACACACACACACACGCGCGCGCGCGCACACACAATATCTCATGTCATTATGATATACATATTCTTATCTTCTGCAAGCGATGGGGAAAACTTCTCACATAATTTTCCCTGACAAGTCAACTTAAATAGCATAAATATCTGACATTGTCAGCTAAAGGTTAATTGGTTGTAAACATTATCAAAATATCAAAAGGTGCCGTGTTATAGATAGCTAAGATATGCCGCGGATTTTATTTTGAATGGTAAATGAACGGAAGCTGAGCTCTGTGTTAAAAGAAACATAAATGCCAACTGTATTGCACTTAAATAATCTCAAAAACACCGCTACATCATGTCTGATGTGGTTTTAAACAGAGGTATAATCATGATCATTTTATGAGAAATTTACAGTAATGCTAGGAACTCTAAATGATAATCTACTCCTATACAATCTAACCAAGCCCTTGTAGTTGTTGAAGCTAGGAGGGCGTTAAGCCGCAAACCCGTAGTTAGAGTCCTTAGGAGCCTTACCATACTGTTTCAAAGGGACCTGTGACTTGTTTTGTGTGTGTTAATAAACTCGGCCATTAAGTCTAAGTTGAAGAGTGAAACCGATCAAATTATACTGATCGAAACTTAAAGCCCAACTGCACTAGTGTGGCCAAGGGGGATTAGATCTCCCTGCATACTCACCGACAGGTTGTTATCTCATCAAATCAGCTCTCAATTTACATAAGAAAAATGGGATCATGGGGGACCAACATGCACCGATTAGGCATTGATTGCTATTCAGAGGGCGCAAATGGTTATAAGTAGTGCAGTGGGGCTTTAAAGGATCAAAGACCTTTTAGAGGAGTTCATCAGCCCTTTTGAAGGCTAATTCTCTTGAAAGTATTACATGGTGTTTTAGCCTGAAAGCTTTACTGACATTTAAATTCTGATTAATCTGTCTTAAATTCCACATGAGACATGTTTGTTGGCGTTTTACAGCTTACATGGGGCTAACACAAAGAACCTTCTATAAACACGTTTCTTCTAACAACATGCTATACACCAATGCCCTATATATTATGCATGGGCACGGTGGTAGATGGGAAACAGTTCAAATTCCATTGACCGATATTACAGAAGAAAGTAAAGAAAAATGGGTGTTAAAACAGAGATGGAAAGAATCGAAATTTAATTGACCGCTATAATTGTAATTTCGTTGATAATGAGAAGGTGATAGAGTTCAGTCATGAGAGCAAATACGCAATAGAAGTCTTTTGACGTAGCTGCTTAGGCTAGGTGAGGCAAGTCAGTGATACGCCCTCTGTAAAGTTTGTATTTTTTAAACAAATGAGAAAAGGAAATCAATGCCGGGTTGTGTTGTTGTAAAGATTCTTATAAGTAGGGCTATATTCACAATGAAGATGCGATGCATGGTATGGCTCGAATTATAATATACCAACATGTGTTTTTAGGTTATAATGGGATCCTCTTAAATTCTTTTCATTTTTTTAACTTAAAATGACAGTAAAAAAGGGTGTGGGATGGACGGGGGTGAATTTTTTTAAGAACCAAAGCATTTACCAGCTGGTGTTATTATTGATTCTACAAAATTAGAATTTCCACTGTTTCTTGTGACTCGTTAGTTGTAAAAGTAATTGCATTACTTAAGAACAACCATGTTTTTTACTACTGGATGCGCCCGTTTGACAGTTAATTTAATTAGACCACGCTAATGATGTTGTGTTTGTAATCGCTATATTGAATTAGGATTGATTGATATATTCAAGTAGACAGTGAGGTGAAGAATGACCGGGGTAGGGAGGATAAGAATGAAGAGAGAAAGAGCGTCAGACAGAAAAAGAGAAAAGGGCTAAAAGAGGATGTAAACACGGAGAGAAAAATAAAAACAAGAGAGGCTGAGAAAGAACGAGACACAGAGATAAAGAGAGAGATGAGGAGAAAGGAGAGAGATATGAATAAAGGATAGACAAAGGAAGATAAAGAAAGAGAGTAAGAGAGAGAGAGAGACACACACACACACACAAATAGAGAGAGAGAGAGAGAGTATGTGCTCGTCGGTGATGTGCCTCTGCATGTGGATGGTAGGGAGTGGATGGAGATCATAAGAATATTGTTTGTGAATTAGAGAATCATGAAGACCTAAAATTGATTTGTCCTGGATATTTGAATGAAGTTTCAACGAGAGTAATATATCAAATTTAAGGTTGATCAATAATAGAACAAAAGATTGATGAATACTCTGAAAAAACCTTATTTCAAAAAGGTTGTTGTTAATTTGTTTTTGCATGGCGCTTTCTATTCAATGTTGAATTTTTACGACGTGGGCTTTGTTTTTCCAATCTTCTTCTTTCAGTTCACGTTGCTGAAAACGTCAATTAATTAGTCTTCGGTGAATTTGATTTGAAATGTCTCACACATGCACACCCACTGCACATCTAATTTGACCTCTTCCTCTGCTTCTTTCGGAGAATGATTAA